AAAAACATTTTATGCAAGTAGTTATATGAAAAATTAACCATTATTTATCTTGAATGTTTTAATTATTATATTACAGAAAGGTATACATGTTGGTAAAAGCATTTCTTGTAGCTGTACTGTACTAATCAACAAATAATTATGGTCAGTCATTTTTATCAATTAATTTGTTATTCAGCGTAAAAATAGTTTTAATGTATACTTTAATATGAAAAAGTGAAAGAACAAACTGTATTAAATTGTGTACATTGCAAATAAATTTAATCCTTTTCATGTACTGCTTAGAAGGACAATTGTAGATTCTTAAGAAAGATTATATCTGTCAATTTTAGCTAGTGCGTAGGATATCATCTCATGCGACAACATTGAAGGAACGTGTGAAAACGTCGGATTACCTAGCGACGTGTTGCGATAAAGTACGTTATATCACAACTATACTAAAAGACACACTGAAGTGCGGCGCTGTACTTATTTCGGATACGAATTATTGTACAAGTGACTGAATGCTTCAATGCTTTAGTTGGTAGATATTTTGTACATCAATTTATTGACAAATAGGAGGCAAAAATGTTGCGCTCTCAAACTTTTTACCACTTTTTATCCATTTAATAAACCGCGAAAGTTCACCAAAGTCTGCGGTGCTTGATTTTTGGCAATAGCGTATACGTCACTCAGAACTGATGCCATGTAAAGATGCTAACTACTTAGTAACAACTGCACGTGATTACAGTAAAGATTACTTTATACTGGTACATCAAAAGGTATCAATATAAAAATATTATGATGCAAATGGATGACAGTAACCTAGAAAGCAACAAAATCAAGTAAATCTAATTCTATATAAAGGATTTTGCCTTTTGAAAAAACAAAAGCATTCAACAGACTGATTGCTAAGAGTCTTTGAAACATAACATCGAGAACGTAAGGCACTGTATGCACCACGTGAATTTTCCATGCCTCCAACCAGGGATGTGAACGACTCGCTTCGTAATATTGGCAGTGTGCAAGATTGCATCCTGCAAATAAATTTATTGGTTGTATTTATTAGTAAGGTTTACAATTTTTCTGATATTCAACATGAAAATCACAGTGTATTTAAAACCTACGCATGCACGTTCTCGCACGATATAGAGGTGGTCCACTAGTAATTCTTCCTGTAGTCCCGGGTACTCCATGAGGTCTGGTGCTTCATAAGCGGAGTAAACCGAGTCGTTGATGGTGCACCACTAAATGCAAAAATGCACCCATGACTGCGCCTGAAAAAATCATCTTTAAGCTATGAAATTGTTTGCATTTTTGTTTGCAAACAAAAACATACAATTCAAAATAGAAAATAATAGTAATTACAGTTTTGCGCAGTAGTTCTGTTCCAATTCAGCTTTGGAAGGGCTTTTATGTTTAACGTCGCGGTTCCGCTGTGGAGCTCTATGAAAGTTGTTCTGAAAGACACTGTGAAAACAGAAAGAAGAAACATCATAACTAAGTAGCAACTTTAATAAATCCATAAACTCGGACTTGGTGCATGTCATAACTTTATCGATGATGTTTACTTACTGTCGAAACTGCCTCACCTGCCACTTTGCCCGACACTGTGCATGGAGCGTTGTGAAGGCGTGTTGTTGCAGGCATCTCGAGTTGCGGTGAAACGACTTCTGTTTGGACGCTGTTGCCTGCCTGAAATAAATTCCGTCATTCATCAATTACTTTTTTCTGATCTCACGTAAATTTAAGTAAAAAAATATCTTCTTAGTCAGTTTACAATTTGAGTAATTACTTGTCTCCAAAACGACCAGATTTATGAAAGTGGTGTCGAAAACCTTATATTCACTCCACTAGTTGCAGCCTCATCTTGCAAAAGAATTTGATCTCAGTTATAGAAAAACTTCATTTATAAAGCAATGTAGAGAATCTTTTGAATCTGAATCAAAATGAGATCAACTTACTGTGCTGTTATCATCATCAACCAGCAGTGGTGTTTCAGTAGCAGTCGCAAACGCTAAAAATTTGACAAGTTAAAACCATTGACGACTTACAGCAAATTCAAAGCAAGAAAATTCATCGAAAGTTTGAAACATCAAGAATAGAAGATTGACTGAATACCTATAATAACAGATCAATATGTAAATCAGTTTAAAATTTGAAACTTGAGAGACAATGTTAAAAATTAAATATCTTAAACAAACACACATATAAATCATTGGTATACGACGAGTCTTAATTGATATTCATTCCACATATGAGTTTATCACATTACTTCAATGCGACAAAACGATTAGACGTGAATTTTACGCGGAACTATTTGCTGCAAAATTAAGTCGAGCTTATAAGTTAAAAATTTTTATATCCTTGTTCATTTTTGGTGGCAGAAATTTTAAAGAAAAATGCTGAAAAGTGCGTTTTTCTTCTTTATGCATAAAACTATCTAGAAAAAAAAGCACATTTTGAAAAATTGTGTTACATCGTCAACAGTCTTCACATCGATAAAAATCTGTAGATCACATTTGACCTTTGCGAATTCGTATAATAATTCCTCCTTACGCAACAATATATTAGTTTAATTTCTGTTAAAGACAGCATAAAAATGTAGTCTGAATAAGCACTGAAGTGTAATCATAGACATTCATGAAATTATATTCATGACGTTGGCTTCTTACCATATTTCACACTTTAATCTTTATCACAACCAAGTGTT